CCACACGTAATCGATACCCAAACCCCTTTTTTATTTCAAAAAGAATGAATCTCTGGTTACACGCAGACTGATTTATTTTTTAAAATGATGTTTTCTTAAAAACACTTTTTAAAAAAATTTAGGTATTTGACCTACTTAACTCAAAAGGTTGATGGCGACTCCAAAACATTTCAAAATCTTTTCAAAAGAAAACTCCCAAGACGTTTAATAATTTCTAATTAATAACCTTTAAAATTTATAAACACCTTGCTTTTTCTTCTTATAATTTCAATTAGAATTGTACATAATAAAAATATGTTCAACCTTAATACCATAATTAGCATTGAAAACTATTTAACTATCTTAATTATGATTATAAATTCGTTGAATATTAATTCATCAAAACTCATTCAACATCAATACTATTTATAATCCATAAGTAATACCACATCATACCATTTCAAACGTTAAGACAATTAATAACATTAAGAGACTTCCACCGGCTTTAACATTTTAAAAGTCATTAAAACGGAAGTTTTAATCATACTAATAATGATATCAAATAATCATAATAAATTTCACCCTAAAATAAAAATCTTACCAAAGCCCCAACGTCATCTAAACTCGGGCTAAGAGATGGTGTTACTAATGATTTGTTATTTTATTTAGAGAAAATAATCTCAGTGAAAAAAAATGCCTCATAATATACGATTTTAACCAACTTTTTTTGGATTTGCCAAAATGACAAACTAAATCGCAATGCGATCGATAATTCGCAACGCGATATCCGGTATCGCAAATCAGTTTCCAGATTCACAACGCGAACTTCGACTATCGCATTGCGATTTACATATTCACATTGCGATAGTCCAAGTTCACGTTGGTATTGCATTTGTTTCTTAAGAATTTTCTCTAAAAAGATAGTATTCGCGCGGACGTGTCGAAGACACGTATTACCACGACCACGACCACGACGACCACGAAGACGAGAGAGACGAGACGGACGGCGGCGGCGGCAGCGCGCGAGAGTCCCCCTTGTTCTCTATCACTCAACAAGGAAGTGGGAAAGCCAAGCCTTAAATACCATTTCCAATAGTGTTTCCAATACTATGTGGGATTGAGCATTACCAACACTTGTTCCCAATACTATGTGGGATTGAGCCTTAAATAGTGATATTATTTTTGAATGTTTTGCTTAAAATTGCAATAATCGCGATTGATTGTAGATTGACTTTTAATTATGACATATTTAATCGTATAATATTAATGCATTTGGTTGCTGATTCAGTTGTTTTAAGGTGCATGATTGTTAATTGTTTCCTGAATAATCACATTGTATTGGAAACAAGTGTTGGTAATGCTCAATCCCACATAGTATTGGAAACACTATTGGGAATGGTATTTAAGGCTTGGCTTTCCCACTTCCTTGTTGAGTGATAGAGAACAAGGGGGACTCTCGCGCGCCGCCGCCGTCCGTCTCGTCTCGTCTCGTGGTCGTGGTCGTGGTCGTGGTCGTGGTCGTGGTCCGCGTGAATACTATCTTTTTGGTCACTGAGGTTATTTTCTCTTTTATTTAATAATCATATTAAATAAATAACAAATCAAAATGAAAACTGTGTCGTGGTATTAACCACTATCTTATAAGCAAATTCGTCCTGATGTGTGTAATCGTTACAATTGACGAATAGTCCCTGAGGTTAGCGCAACTCTCCAAATTCTAAAAGATAGAGTAGACTATGGTGATAATGCTCTTCTCTCAACTCAAATAACATTAGAAAAGTTCCAAAAAGTATCTCAAAGCAAATGTAATTTGGTTATAGGATTAGAGTAATTTCTCTTGTTGTGCCATGTGATATGGAAAAATGAAAAATCATTTATAGATTAATATAGGGGTAAAATGGTAAAAGATCAAATAGCAGTTACAAAACAATTAATTGTCATAAACATTATTCTATTAAATATTTTGTTACAACTATAAATGGTAAAATATAAATGCTAATAAATATTTTATGTGAAGGATCTTTTATGGAAAGAAACACATATGAACCGAATCGAACAAAGCTAAACGATTCATACCTAATTTGAAATTCTTTGTATTGCCAACAAATATATTTGAATAAGTATCATAATCTTATTAGTGTTATGTTTTCCATATTTCTAGTTGGAAGTCGCTAGATATGAACAAAATAATTTGATTTTATTTATTATTTTTTTATACTATCATTTTGTGTGTGTATATATATATATATATGCAAATAGAGTCGTAGTTTTATTAAAAGAATAAAATATTTAAATTTGTAATAAAGTTCGAAAACTAAATACATAATTAAAATATTTTTCTATAATCAATAACATAAGATAACTAACCACTCGAGATCATAGAATGAACATACAAAGAAAAGGTTAAAACTCATCTAAAAAACTCAAACAAAAGATAGATATAAATAAATCTGACTGTATCGACAAACGAACCACAATAGAGGATTAAACTACAGAAAGAACGCTGACAATCACACATTAGAATCAATCGACGTGAGAAAATTATCTACGGACGCAAATTGTGAATACAAGTCTAATTCAAGGGTCCAAAACAATAAAGATCAAAGGAATAATAAATAAGTTTCATCTCAATCAAGCGTGACGACATCAAATCTAACCTTAAAAAAATAATATCAATGCTCATTGAAGTTCGTATCCATGAGGGGTGTTTTCTGCCTGATTGGCATTTGGTTGCTTTCCAGTAAAACTTTGCAATTGGCTTATACTCGGGTAGTTGATGCTCCAACTCCAGTTGTGGTTAGTTCTTCATTAGTTATTCATTCGAATTCTTGGCATAAACCTCCTCTAAATTTTGTTAAGTTAAATGTTGATGGCTGCCCACTTGATGATGGTGCTATGGCTGTTGGGGCAATGGTGCAGGATTCCGATGGTTTTGTTTTGGCAGGCCGAGCTTCTTGTATCGATTGTCCTCGGAATGTGGGTTCTATCGAATTCCATGCTACTTGTTTTAGTCTCCGTCTGGTCATTGAATTGGGATTTCCAAGGTTATTGTCGAAAGTGATGCATTCAATGTCGTACATAAGCTAATTCATCATCATTTGGATTTTTCAGTTCTTCGTTTTATTTTGGCCGAGACTCGCTGCATTTTTGACACTCACCCGGAGTTTCGCCTCCATTCCATCGGACGGTCGGCTGATATGGCAGCACATACATTAGCGAAATTTGCATCTTCCAATTCCTCGTCAATGTCTTTCACATATGATGTTCCTTCTTGTTTATCTGAATTTATTATAACTGACGTTATTTTAAGTTAATGAATAGATTCCGTTATTTTAAGTTAATGAATAGATGATTATTTTCAAAAATTAAATTCTCAAAATCGTTGCAATCGCATAGTCGTTTGAGATTTTGGAATCAGATTTTATTATATCCAATTAACAGGTTAATAGAAATGATCGAGTTTGAAATATATGAATTGTCAGATGATTATTTTTATAATATTTTGTAACTTTTAATAGTTAGAGTCTTAATAAAGCAACACTTATAGTCAGAAGATTATTTTGCAACTTTCAATAGTAAGGAGACTCAATAAAGTAACTCCCAATTATCGGAGACCATTTGTATACTTTATCAATATTATAATTACCTGATTTATTTGTATTGTTTATTTTTACCCAAAATTAGACGTAAGGTTTCAGATTTAAACCTCTTCTTAATAACATATTTCTCACTTTATTATAAGCAAAATATGTCTCATTTTTTATTGAGCACCTTAATATAAGAACACTTGTCACCATCTCAAAAATGTTTATTGAAATATTTATTTCAACGGTTTACTTAATAACCAGGGTAAAGTACATAAATGATCACCTGATTATAAAACGTTTCTTTGTTGAGTCATCGACTATTAAAAGTTATAAAATATCCATCCTACTATTCATATATTCCAAACTCGTCTTTTTCAACTAAAAAATTGATGGCAGTCTAAGTTGTACATTAACCTGCTAACTCAAATATAATAAAATATGATCTCATAATCTTAAACGACTATCATATCCTAATCAACATATTAACGTCTAACTAAGACCATTAATTTTTTAAAGAAAAATGATAAATTTAGAACATAATGAATAGTCAAGTAATTATTTTATGATTTTAATAATCAAATGACTCAACAAAACATCCTATTATCGATGGCCTATTTTATAACTTTTAGTAGTCGGGAACTTAATAAAATAAGAGAAAATAACCTCAGTGACCAAAAATGCCTTATAATAAACGATTTTAACAAACTTTTTTTGGATTTGCCAAAATGACCAACTAAATCGCAATGCGATCGATAATTCGTAACGCGATCTCCGATATCGCAAATCAGTTTCCAGATTCGCAACGCGAACTTGAACTATCGCAACGCGAACTTGGACTATCGCAACGCGAACTTCGACTATCGCATTGCGATTTACATATTCGCATTGCGAAAGTCCAAGTTCGCGTTGCAATAGTCGAAGTTCGCGTTGCGATTTATTGATTTATTCCAAATTCGTTGCGATAGTCCAAAATCGCAACGATTTGTGGTATTGCATTTGTTTCTTAAGAATTTTCTCTAAAAAGATAGTATTCGCGCGGACGTGTCGAAGACACGTATTACCACGACCACGAGACGAGACGGATTTGGAATAAATCGCAACGCGAACTTGGACTATCGCAACGAATTTGGAATAAATCGCAACGCGAACTTGGACTATCGCAACGAATTTGGAAAATCGCATTGCGATAGTCGAAGTTTGCGTTACGATAGTCGATGTTCGCGTTGCGAATCTGGAAACTGATTTGCGATACCGGAGATGGCGTTGCGAATTATCGATCGCATTGCGATTTATTTGGTCATTTTGACAAATCCAAAAAAAGTTAGTTAAAATCGTATATTATAAGATATTTTTGGTCACTGAGGTTATTTTCTCATAAAAGATATCATATAATTGGGGGACCAATTGTGTAGTTTATCCTAATAACTATAAAACAAAATTAAAAAAATAATTCTTGAGCAGCTGTTTTTGGTGTTTTGTTTTCTTGTCCAACAACAGTTTAAATGGCTTAAATTAGTAACAGTGCCCAATACTAGAACAAATCTTAAATATATAGCGCGCAAGTAGACAAGCTTTAATAACCGCATCTACACAACAAATGGTTTATGGATAAACCATTCCATTACGGTTAGCAGCTACAGAAGAAAACTCCAATTGCCAGAATTTCTGAAAGTCGGTGAAAAGCTACCAAATCTGCATTCGGGGACACAAGGTCGCTTCATAGTCGCTACTTGGCAACACTAACTCGTTTTCATCTCTTGAAGTGCTTTGACCATAAGTAGACAATAGTGAAACACGCGAGACCGAAGATTATCACTTGAAGAATATGATTCGATCTCTGCTGAGCAACAGTTCGGTTCAACTTTGTCATCCCATTTTTTACTCCTGCCTGAGCTCTACTCATTAGCATTTGCTGAAACAGGGAACAGAACAGAGACTTATTAGTATGTATGGTGTTTCTTAACTTTGCGGTAAGGAAATATAATTTGCATTGGAAACCACGCCATCAAATGCCTTCATACAAAGGTTGATAGTACCATGGATCATAATTTGTTCCTTAATCAAAACGATTAAAAGGTCAAGTCAAGCAAGTGTTTACCAAATCAGAGACAAGTTCATTCTGAATTCGGGTTTCAGTTTCAATCTCTTGAGCCACCTGCAGATCAGCATTTTGAGCAATAGTTCAAAATACAAGAATACAAAAATCTTTCGAAACAGAAAACTCAAGTAAAACGAAAATAATCAGATAAGCCAATTACTTTCAACTTACAGAGCAAAACATACGTAGCTAGCAATTATTTTCAACACCACAAGCAGTTTATGTCAGAAGTCATAATGATAGAAATTATTTTGCACCATAATTTAGAGCGAAAGTGAACAAAAATAGATGTTACAATTATCAAGAATCTTGCACATTACATAGCCAAAATCATAATTTCTCGACTCACTTTTCTTATTACCTGTGGCTAACAGTATCTCAATATTTGCATTATTCAGAAAGCATTGACCAAACAAACGCAGCCATAATTTTCATTCTTATATTATGGATAAATAGCTAAGATTCAATATAATATATAGATGAAAAGTATAAATACGTAGATGATCAAATCCAAAAATTTATTAGGAATTTCAAGTTCACTATTAAATAAGCATCTAACAAATCCATGAATTTGAGAAACAATCATGAATGTTACATTTCCTTTCTTTCTTTTTCTCAATTTACATTTTACACCGTCTTTAAAATCCAAATCCATGTACACAAATGCTATTTTATGGCAATAAGCAAATAAGAGCTATGAATTTAGTCCAATCTATGGTCAGGTAAGGATGGAAGATTTAGGACAGATTCAGTGGATGCTGGTCTGATGCTTCAACAGGAAGATGAGTAAATTCTTTCACAAAATCAAATAAGCTAGCGAATGGTTAGGATTAAACTATTATCGTTAAGCATGTTTGCAGGGAAATTACTTTGGCTGACTATGACACTAGATTTTATTTAAAGAAAAGTAATGTTTAATTTGATCTCCTTGCAGTTCCTGAAAACTCGAATAGATTGAATCATAATAATGTTTTTCTTCCTTCAATTTAACTCATCCAGCCAGCCGTGAAAAAAGCAATAAGAATTTGGCTGAGCTATGCTTTTTTCCTTCCAAAGTTGCATCTACATGACAAACATGGAAGAGAAAACCTGGGGAAACTGCAGTTTCACTCATGTGACAAAACACATTACAATTCCTCTAATCCAGAGAGCACCCCAGATGCTCATATGTCAAAAAACTAGCAAATAAATAACTCATTTAGCCCGGGGAAGGGGGTAATTCCCATGTCTTAACTGATTTCCCCCTAATCCATGGATGCAGATTTTATTTTTAACTCTATAAACAGAGAGATTAACGGAGTACAAACAAAAATTATTTAGTTGAAGCTGCAACCTAAGACACAGTACAAGCAACAGTTAAGAGTAAGATAATGAAAACATTCTTGCTTTCTTCATGTAAACAATCAAATGTGTTATCCATTGAAATATATAGAAAATATTTCTAAACCAATAATTCAACACTTTTACCCAAAAAGGAATTGCCTTATTCAATAAATTTCATCTCTATCCCTTTTGCTATAACCTAAGAAGTATAAAAGACTCTAAATTGTAGAAGCCAAAACCCCATTAATTCAAAAGCAAAACCCATAATTGTTGTCGAATAAGAATTATTAACCGAGCAAAATAATCCCAAAAAAAACCCAGAAACTCACAAGAAGAAAAAAAAAGTGAACTTACGTGTTTGAGTTGTGTAACTTGTTTGTGCAGGCCCGAAATCTCTTCATCTAAATCAGCATGAATTGGGTCGATCCTCAACTGGATTTCATCGGAATTAGACACAGGTCTAGCGCTAAGACCCTGCCTGTTACATTTGTGGCATAAATGATAGATATTTATAGATCAAATCATGTTTATGTGGCGAATCATACTGATAAGTTAATCGGAAAAGAGATAAAGAAATAATTTAAGAATCAAGTGAGAATTTTAGTACCTTGATCTGTAAGGATTTGCCATTGGAAGGAATTGCTCAAGAAACAGAAGCGGTTCTGTCAAAAATACATCGCATGAAGATCATGATACAAGGGCTAGGTGTTCGTGGGAAAGATTTATTTTTAGTCGGAACTATAATATTTTCCTACTTTAGTACCTAAATATTTTTTTTCTCTCAATTTAGCATTAAAAAAGTTACGGGAAATTACATGTCAAAATTAACAATTTGGTCATTAACATTATCAATTTATAATAAATCAGTCACTCATCATTATCAGCTTTTATTGAAAGTGGTGAAATGTTGATGTATGTTAATTAATTGACTTGACACGCAAGATCGATCGTTTGACTCCTCTAGAACGAAAGATTGTGAATAATAATTGATTGATTAAAAGTGACAATTTAATCCTTGTGGAGATAGTACTCACTCACTTCTATGTTATATGTCATCGACGTGTACACTTGCATAATTATACGTCATATTTACATGCAATAATGTGTTGAGATGTCTCCACATTAATCCAGAAATTGAGTTAATATGCATCTATTAATCACTGGTACCGAGGTACTTGAACTCTTGGGTACTGTCGAGATGTCTCCGTCATGAGTAAATATTCATCCACTCTAAGCTTTGACTTATGAAGTTTACCCAGGGGATAAAAAGTTTTCGCTCTAGTATATGAGTGATTTCATTGTGCTTTAACGAGTGTCGATATATCTTAACAATCCTTTGACATAATTTCTAGCATGTCTAACGTGATTTGTCATAAGTAATTGAGAGCCGATTACATCAATTAGGTCTACCTACCCCGCTAGTTGATGAATAGCTATCCTAATCATGTGCATGATACCAAGACAAAAGATCAAAATAAAACCTCTCGATTAAAACCAAGAGAAGGAAACCCTGGTCTAAACATTCCTTCGTCTAGAAAAGAAAACCTCAGCACCAGTTAACGATCATTCAACCACTAGTTATAAAGGGATGAACCGTTATCAGTGGGGAATGCAGTTTTTTTTTAGGGTGGGCACCTGAAATTCGAATTTCTTAATGTTAGTTGTTCATTTTATTAAGAGAAAATAACCTCAGTGACCAAAAATGCCTTATAATATACGATTTTAACCAACTTTTTTTGGATTTGCCAAAATGACCAACTAAATCGCAATGTGATTGATAATTCGCAACGCGATCTCCGGTATCGCAAAGTTTAAAATGAAAAAGCTAGAAATCTTAACTTTTGCGGTTGGTCTAATCTTCATTTTTCATCTGTTTAGTATTGATTTTGCGAACAAAACAAACTTTTTAATTAAAAATAATTTTGGAAAACATTACCAAATGGATCCTTAGAAGATAAAGGGAATACATTTTAGATGTTAAGCAGGTGATGCACTCCACCCTTATATATGATATATGATTTCATCAGCTTAACTACATTGATAACCAAGGGCACGAAAATACATTTCAAATTGGATTTTATTTGGCTACTCAAATAGGAAATATTTCCATCTTCATACTATCAAGAGAAGATCATTCAATCCAATTGTGAGACTTCAACATAACTAAGGTACATGGTTATGGACCAAGATGAAGTATTTCATGAAGTTTGTTGATGGTAATAAATGGGTAGTCACAGTCAGTGGCGAATCTATAAATATTTTTTATAATAGGCACATGTATGTTAATAACATTAATTTTTGTATGAGGTAGGCAGAAATAAAATTCTAAGGTGGGCACCATTAATAAAAGAGAAAATAACCTCAGTGACCAAAAATGCCTTATAATATACGATTTTAACCAACTTTTTTTGGATTTGCCAAAATGACCAACTAAATCGCAATGCGATCGATAATTCACAACGCGATCTCCGGTATCGTAAATCAGTTTCCAGATTCGCAACGCGATTTTGACTATCGCATTGCGATTTTCCAACTATCGCAATGCGAATATGTAAATCGTAATGCGAATATGTAAATCGCAATGTGATTATGACTATCGCAATGCGATTCTGACTATCGCAACGCGATTCTGACTATCGCAACGAGATTTTGACTATCGTAACGCGATTCTGACTGTCGCAACACTGAATTTCAAATTCACAACATGTTTTATTTTCGCAACAAAAATGTTTTGGGTATATAACTACGCAGCAGAAGCAACTCATAACCTAAATACCTAAATCGCAACTCATTCCATCTCTATCTATCACTCTCTCCGACGACATCCGTTCCTATATCCAACGACATCCTTCCCCATCCGGCAACAAGTTTTAGTTTCGCAGCTCGTTTGTTTAGTAAATTAATTTACAATAATGAAATCATCTAATGCTGATCATGTTTGGATAGATTTTGTTTTGGAGGGTCATGGGAGAATGTTCATGGTGTTTTAAAATATATGCCTTTACCCATGAATCTTCAACTAAAACTGTCATTAAAAAAGTTAACTTATGAAACTCTAATGTTACGTGTTGCAAATAAATTGAATTTAGAGCCCTTAAGTGGATTTAGGCTATCTTATCAGAGAAAATGTAAAGTTTATTTGTTAACCGACAATGACGATGTTGAACGATTCATTGCTTACATTAGTGTTTCGCAAGATGATGTTACATTGTATGTTGTTGAACCTAGAAGTAGTGAAGTTGGGTCAGTAGCGGGTAGTAATCAACTAAGTTTTTCAACCCCAGTTTATGGTGCTCAAATTTTAATGGTTCCACCACAATTTCATCACCAAGCAAAATTTGTTTCACCATATTTCCAATACCAAACATAATCTCAAAACCCACAACCTTTCCCTAATCCAAATCCCAATCAACTTTCAGCACCAAATTCCGGTTTTCGTATTAACCAGTTAGACAATGATGAGCCAACAGAAAAAATTGTGAGTACTAGTCGATATTCGAAATTTGATCTTGGCCAATACCCGGACTTTGATCTTGGTCAATGCTCAGATTTTGATGATGTTTCAGAAGAAGAAACAGACCTGCGTGTAATGATTTTGATATTGGTCAATACCCAAATTTTGATGATGAAACAGCCGCTGCCGAGGAAGATGTTGTTGATGATAATGAGGAGGAAGTTACGACTGTGAATGAACATATTGAACATCCATTCTGTAATTCATATAACCCTGAAGAAGAAAAAGAAGAAGAAGAAATCCCCGAAGAAAAGTCCCCGAAGAAAATGCCACGGGAGTATAACTGGAATATGCCAGAATTACTTCATATACCGGAAGAAGAGTTGGTAAAAATAGCAGTTGATTGTTACACAAAAATTATTCGTATCAAGAAAGATGATTGTTTTAATACAAATGAAGACTTGAATATAGCTTTGTATACGAAATGTGTGGAAGATGGCTATCAACTAAAAGTTAACAAATCATGCAAAGATCGTTTCGAAACAAGGTGTATGATTGACCAAAACTGTACGTGGCGTATGATTGCAAAGAGGATAAAAGATTGCAAAATTTTTCAAGTTAGGACTTTTATTGATAAACATACATGTTCAAGAACCCAAGTTTTTCCTCACCATAGACAGACAAACAAAAAGGTGTTGGGTGGTTTTCTAGCTGAGTTAATGTTTTTGAATGGCAGGGTATATCGGGGACATGAAATTATGACTGACATGAATGCTCGGTTCAAGATTAATATCTCATATTCTCAAGCTTAGAGAGCCAAATGTTATGCCTTGGAATTGCTGAGGGGGTCGCCAGAAGCATCGTTTGCCCAACTGTCAGCTTATTGTCACAATTTAAAGCTGAAAAATCCTGGATCGGTAACTCATATCAAAACAGATAGAGATGGACGCTTTGAGTTGATGTTTATCGCCATTGGTGCTACGGTTAGTAAATCAATATAATTTTGTTGACTCATTTTTGTTAGTTACATGTATTTCACATTTAAATGATTATATTTCTTGTGTATATGATTTTGTAGATTCGTTCGTTTATTACTTGCATGCGCCCAGTTATTATAGTTGACAGAGCACATTTAAAAGGTCAATACCTTGGAGTAAACTTATTAGCAGTAGCCATGAATGCTAACAATGGGATACTGCCAATAGCTTACGGGGTTGGCAAATCTGAAATCTCTGATTCATGGACATGGTTTATGGGGCATCTTAGTGATTGCATAGGTCCTATTAGCAATCTGACAATCATATCCGATAGGGCAAACTCAATTGACAACGCTATTAGAAAGTGTTTCCCAGATGCTTTTCATGGACTTTGTGGTGTTCATTTATATAGAAATCTAAAATCAAGGTCTGCTGGTATAAAAATCACAAATGGATATACTGGAAGGCTGTAAAAGCTTATCGGGAAGTGGATTTTAATAAGCATATAAATTGTTTAAGACGTGTTTTGCCTCAGTGTGCTCAAACACTAGAAGATGTTGGGTTTGAAATATGGTCAAGAGTACATCAACTTGGAGCAAGATATGGTTTCATGACGTCTAATAGTGCAGAATCAATCAACGCTCTAAGTCGTCATTCCCGGAAATTACCTATTACTATGTTAATGGAGTTTTTTCGAGCCTCTATTCAATAGTGGTACTACAAGAAAATAAACCATGCAGGTATTATTTCTTTAAATTCGTAACTTATCATATATTTTACTAAGTATTATTTATTTAAATTTACAGGAACATTGGAACATCGTGTTACACCATGGACTGAAAAAAAGATAACGAAACGTGTTGTGAAGTCAACGTCATGGAGAGTTGAACCATGTTCAAACACTTTGTTTGAAGTACTGGATAATAACTTAAATGGGCTTGTCGATCTAAATGCAAAGACATGTAGTTGTATGAAATGGCAAACATCTGGTTATCCGTGTGGGCATGTTATAAAAGTTGCTCTTCATCTAAACCAAGATGATTCAAGCGCATACGCTATGGATTGCTACACTACAAAAGTATATCGACAGACTTATGCCGAGATTATCTACCCTATTCCACATCCTTCTGAGTGGGATATACCAGATGACTTACAAACAGTTTTGCCACCAGCCATGGACAGAAGGCTACATGGCCGACCAAAAAGTCACAACCGTATACCGTCTAAGGGTGAAGAGAAGAAGAGATCGACATGTAGTAGGTGTAAGGAAAGTGGTC